TGTTTAACCTCAAATCATGTGGCTGACACGCCTCGTAAAGAACTAGTGGTTTTCATTTGGTTCTGTTGAAGCCACGTTCGACGCACCATGCAATCCTCGTGCGTTAATATCACGAAATACACATGTCCAACGAAGGTTTTGTTGGCCCAATTTCCTTAAAAAGAATACCAATTTTAAAGCTGGTTAATATCACGAAAAATTCCAAATCATTACACCTGTGACAAATTTACCAAGAATTAATTTTTTTACCACAAAAAACCCCAAACGGGTATACATAGGGGTGTTAAGACCAAACACTATGCCCAAATTGAAACACGAACCGACCCGAACCGGCCCGAAATTTTAAGTTATTTTTGGTTCAGGTCTTATTATGTTCGGGTACACAGTAATAAAATGGGTATTGTGATATGTTTCGGTTCGATTCAGGTCATAACACGAATCGAACTGAAACACGTTACTTTATCAAAATTGACTTGAAATCCTAAGTATTAATTTGTGATACACACTCTCTCTCTCAAAACGATTCGTCTCCTTCCATATTTAGTATTTTTTTTTCTCGATGGGTCTTTATCGCCTGCCTTTGTCATGAAAAATTTATATTCACTGAATCTGGCAATGGATTTGGTACGTTTGGATTTCATTAGTTTCCTGAATCTAGCAAGTCTCCAACATGATCAATAGTTCCACAGCCAGATTACAAAGCGCGGTTTGAATTTTGACCCATTTGTCGAGAATGCTCTTGTGGAAACATATGCTAAATGTGGAACTTGCGAGATGCATCTTGTACTAATGTCTTGGTTCACTGAATGCAAATCAATCCTTGTCATTGAAGTTTCAAGATGCGTCCAAACATTGATAAGGAGACTTGAGTCACGAGAAATTGATGTGATTCTATGATTTCTAATGTTTTGTTTGAAACACAAAACATGACTTCAGGAAAATGTTGAAGTGACTTTTTTTTATCACTTTCTTAAGACATGTGGAGCCACTGTGGCATCCACCAAGCTCCATATCTGAAAAAAAAAAATTAGAAAAATGGATAAAAAATTTAGAAAAAGAAAAAGGATAAGAAAAGCCAACTTTTCACCTTCTTCATCGTCACCTGATTGAGATTATGTTTATTGTTCATCTTCTTCTTCTTCTTCTTCTTCTTCGTCAAGTTCGCGGCCATACCCTCTCAAGCTCCTTCGAGCTCTCGACCATGGCTGCTCAAGCTTTGTCAAGCTTGTGGCCATGGCCGCTCCAACTTTTTCTGTATTAAGAAAGAAATATAAAAAAAAAACCAGGTTAACATTTTGCATTAGTCAAATTGGACAGAGTTCATGAAGGAATTTGATTGCATCAATTTGACTAGTTTTACAAATTGCTTGTACTTTTAAAGTTTTATGATTCAATTATGTTTCCCCAATAAGTGTTAGTATTTCTAATGCAGATATCCCTTGAAGAAAAAGAATGGATCGGGCATAAAAGGCTCTGCTTTGAAAAAAGAATTAAGTATCAAGATCAAAAATTGCCCCTCACTTACATATTTTCATTATCAGTTTCACTGTCTTGGGAGACTTCTTTCTTGAGAATGTGTAAGAAGTATCACTCCATGTATGCAATATCATAGATCAATTTGGGTGTAATCAAGGAACCCAGTGCCCAGAACCAGAAAGATCAGCTTTTGTCATCTCACATTAGTGGACGGATTAGGAGACATTGAATCTGATTAACTACATTACAAAAGGAAGAGCTTCAAATGCTTGATGAAATCCCTGGGCTTCTCCAAGTTCACAGCATGCCCTGCATTCTTGATCACCACCAGTTCAGCACTGTCCCCAATGTGCCTGACCCAATGCGCGCATTAGCGTAGGAGACGAACGAAGTATCTTATGCATCGTCGATAGGAAGAAGGGAAGGAGATAGTTTTAGATAAACTGAAGCTTCACCTTTTTAATCTGTGACCCAGCTCCAGAGGGAATATACGATCTTGCTCTCCCCATACCAACAATGTGGGCTGCTCAAAATTTGGAAGCATGCATAGGAAAGCAATGTTTAGGAGTTTGATTCGCATAAATTCATGTGGAGAAGAAATAATGATTCTATAATCTTCGCGAAGCTATAAGGCGGAGTGGATTTTATCAATAGTCACATGAACGTCCGTCAAGCTTTCAAACATGTCACTTGACTCTCAATTTTTTCAATTGGGTTGTTCGATTTTGCTATTGCTTTCGGTCGGATCACTTACAGCGCCATACACGTCGAGAACATTTCCTTTATGATCACCAAAATGATCATGGCGACAACCCATCACAGTACGACAAAAGAATTAAAGTTACAACACTACAGCAGATAGATTGAGGATCGATGTATTTGACTCGAAAAGATTTCTTATATTTGTCACTTTTGGCGATGGTATGTGTGTCCTTGTATTCATCTTCCACAAAATACTTAACAAAATCCATATTCCAGACTCCAGAGCACATTATCATTTCCATGAATTGAATTGTGCTGTACTCAAGTAAAATTTGAAAGGATATGAACCTGTCTGATTTTGGGCAATTTGGACAGTTCTCGATCTTTGAGTATCTCTTGGATCAATTCCCCCTTCGCTTCAACATACTCTGAACACATGACCTATACAAATTTCAACTCTCTCAGCACATACAAGCCCTTGTTTATGCAAATCTACTCGAGACTTTTTAATCTATCCCTCGATTCACAACTAACAATTTATCAATCCCATCCAACAGATTGAATTTTCCATGGACAATGGACAGAATAAAATTCTCGAGATTAGTCGGGTCGAGTACATCGACCAAGATCGGAACCTTACCTTGATGAAATCACTCAGGAAAAAAGAGGGCACTCCTGTGGCAGGCCGGACAAAGGAGACTCGCATCAATTCCCTAAGCTTCTCGGGCGTCTGCGGCATCAAAACCTGCTTCGCCTCCTCCAAACTCTTGACTGGGAACAATCCCGCCTCCAGGTCCTTCACCTCCAAGCAAACCCCGGTGCAGCACAAGACCAACCGGTCCAATGCCTGCGGGTACTGCACGGCCAAGCTGTACGCCACGAACCCGCCGTAACTTATCCCAACCATGCTCATTCTCTTCACGCCCTGCAAATCCATCAACCTCATCAGGCATCGTGCCTGGAATGACTCGGTCCGGTCGGGGTGCGACGTGTAGGACCGGCCGAAGAAGATCAGGTCCGGGACATACACATTGAACCGCGCGGTGAAGTGGCGGAGGACCTCCGCATATTGCCACATCGCATTCGCGCCGAACCCATGGACTAAAACAAGGTTCGGCTTGGAAGGTTTGCGGATTTTGGGGACCCAGCAGTGCATGATCGTCCCGTCCCCGAGGCTGGTCGACATGGAGCGGAGGCCCGATTTCGTGAACCAGTAGCGGTAGAACCAATCTCTAGATGCGGTGAAGCTGAAGCATTTCGACATGTTTGGAAATTTCCTTGACATTGGACTGTCAATCCGAACAACAAAGTGTATTATTCGATGCCGGTTTCGCACTTCTAACTTCAATTCACAAGAAGTATAACGATTTCTTCATGGGTACAACGAGTTGATGTTTGAACAAGGTGGAAATTTGCTGGTATAAAAGTTGGAATTTGAATGATAAAGATCAGGACATAAGGCAGGAACTTGGTGTTTAGAAAATTCGTTCTGTGTTGGAGGCCCTAGGACCAAAAGAACAAACACAAATCTAGGATTTTACAGCACCAGAACTTCTCACGACCAGGAGTTAAATGTCCAAAATAGACTGGCCACAACTTATTTCCTAATTTCTAGAGCTGTCATTAATGTTTGACGATTTCTTACTTAATCCATTTTTGGCAATGACACTGGAATCTTGTCTTCCCACATGATTAAATGTTATCTGACCCGGTTCGATTTGATTTAAATGGATATGCACCCCAACATGAAGATCTCTCCAGCAAATCCTAGGATCTTTTGAACCAAGTAAAATTCTCCACGACTTGTGCAACAAAACCGTTTGTAATTTCAATTTCATGGGGTCTAAATTTTTTATTTAGTTGCCTTTTTAAACTCGATTGGTGATGTTAGATTAGGGCTTTCTAAACCTACAAAAACTCCAAATTATACTCACGTGACACATTTACCCTGAATTTTTTTTTTGTGACATCAAAAATCCTAAACTATGCCTAGTGTAACCCATTTACTCTAAACTTTTTATTATGACATAAAAAACTCTAAACTTATACCTATGTAACACATTTACCTCCCGTCAAGGTTCCGTTAAACAATTTTTCAGCCAAAACAATATCATTTTTATTTCACTTAAGCCACAAGAGAGACACGTCAACACTATTTGCTTTCAAGTATTTGTATAGATAGATTTTTAACGGTTCTCATTAATATAATTTTGAAGGAAGATAAATGTGTCACATAGGTATAAGTTTGAGATTTTTCTATCACAGAAAAAAATTCAAGGTAAATTTATCACAATTGGCATAGTTTAGAATTTTTGGTGACTTTTGCCCTAAAATATTTGACTATTTAGAGCTATGTTTGAAAATCACGCCAAAAGCAGAAAATCCACCATACTGAGAATAGCTGGGGTAAAAGCAGCTGAAGAAGCAACTTTTATGGTTGAAAATCAGAGTGCTGGATTGCTAGACACAAGCCACAAAGCCCAGACACAAAATGCCTTCCTTAAGTTTCATACTCAAAAGGATGAATCGATTGGAGATGATAAAACCAAGCATCAGGAAGAGTACCTGCAGGGCACTAATCATCACTTGCACATAGTTAAAAATCTCATACGCGTCGAACCGGTCACGACGAATCTCATAGACTTGTTCCATGGCAATAAAAAGAAATGTCCGGGTTTACAATCTATAAATCTCCGTACATGCAGAGTCTGCACTCTAGGTGGCTTACCCATGATAAGAAGTCCGAAACGGAGGTAAATTAGGAGAATCGACGTTTTGCGCAGCCAATTTTCCGGGGTATCGGTTGTTCTTTGCTGCGATGATTGCCATATAACAACACTCATTCTATAAATAAATAAATCCACTTATGTATTCGCACAGCTTCGGAAGGTATGAGCAAATTACAAGCACGAATTGCAAATGAACCTACATATTGGAAGGAACAAACCAACAGCAAGCCGCACACACAAGTGCAGTAACATTATGTATGACTTACAGAATGTTAAATTCGCAAGTTATCACCTAATCCGAAATCATTTTTTTCTCCAAACTTATGCTGGATTATGAACCGGTGGGCTCATGGCAACAACCGCACCAAGCGCCATTTTTTCCCCTATATCGATAATATACAAGCTTTTGGTGCTACGCCTTTAGACGAACAACGACGCAGGATATGTCGTCCTTACTATCTCTATTTACTGCTTCAGCCGCAAGGCTCTTGGCCGCCCTCAAAGGGTCCTTCATCCTCCGAGCAATGTCGACCGCCTCTTGATTAGACATGACCTGCATCAACACAGCCAATAGTAAACAACGAAAACCAAGATGAAAAGTACGGAAGATTTATTAAGAGCGAATGGAAAGGGCGTGGATATCACCTTCCATAGACCGTCACTCGCAAGGATGAGAAAATCAGTGTCTTGGTTGATGTCAGTGCTTTGTATATCGGGATCAGACCGCAAGTGCGATTTGAGGTTCTTGTCTCCAAAAGCACGAGACACTGCCAACTGGCCATTCACTCTTGCAACATCTCCTGATATATTGTAAGATAATTAAATTACTTATCTGTGCATCATTAAGGTCTAGCTTTCCATTCTCTTGACAGAAGATCCGGTACCAATGACAGGTTTCAGTTAGCATTGGTGATAGTTCTCCATAAAAACAGTGACTATTTCTGTACGTAATGTGGAACCTACTTGGCAGATTGACATATGGCTTCAACTATGAAAGCACGCTTTAGATTCTACATTCTGTCATGCAAAGGATGTACTACTTATGACATTATCAGTCCACTGATCTGATCATCATGCATCAGATTTGCTTCCCTCTGCACTCATCAAATTGATCTCCCCAAGTACAACCACATTCTTATCTCCAAATTAATAATCTGACTATTCTCTCCGTAGAAATTCTGATTTTTAACTAGGTGCACAATGAAGCAGCTACATTTTGAGGTTGCTGTCAATTTCCGTTAAACAGAATTGGCCTGTAAAATAGGCATGTTGGGAAGATGGCTACAGGGTTTAGCTAAACTTTGCTTTTATGAGAAATTCATGTACAAAACATACACGAAAAGTCATAAGAACAAGCCACGTCAGCTTATTGGTTTCTGGCATGCCAGTGGAAACCCTGAAGTAGTTCTCCAGCCAAATATTAAAGAAGCAGAAGCTGGTAGATCAAGCTCTCCCAAATCTAGAGTTGTAGAGAATGTAAGAATATATACTTTACCATGTGACTCTGAGATGATTGCACGCTCGTGCTCTCTATAAGTATATATACTAGTGGAAATTTTCTAATCTACGGTTCATTAAAAAAATATCAGTTGCATATTAAGAGATAAAAAGCTGAAAATACATTAGAGATAGGAGTATTAATTTTGAAGGCAGAGAAAAAAAGAGTTCAAGGAACAAGGAGGACACACTATGAGAAACTGGAGAATGTAAAATGCTAGGAGCATTTATTTCAAAGGTATGAGAATATAAGAATTTGACCAACAATCATGTTTCTTCTTCATGGAGTCACCAATCACATGTAGCATCTGACTTTTAATTCCCACCAAACCTAGCTTAAAAACAAAACCTTCACAAGAAAGAACTAACAGAGGATAACTAAAGAAAAGCCTTAGTTATTGGCATTAATTGGATTTTTGAACTATAAGAAAGATTTGGACATATGACATCTTTTACGTACCCACATCCCTCCTGGTCAGGACAATGGACAAGGATAACAGCTAACCATGCTGCCCACAAATTAGCTAGATGGGCAATGCCCATTGCTTTAAAAAACAAAGTAGGATATTGAGATTCTGACTGCTGGTTTAACTGATGTTGTTGAACCAATCTAATACTCTTACTCTTTGAAAAAGCAAAGGGACTATAAGAAAAATTTTGACTGCATGCTCCATACTACAGGATGTGCTTGGATGTAAACAAAGGCTCATAGCCGTCAATTTCTCAAAGCTCCTACGTAACTGTTATACAACAGGTTACTTGTTTTTAATACTTACATATTAACTATGCAAAAAATCTAATAGAAGATACAACCTATAAACATCGGCAACAGCTCGTTCCCTATTAGGTGGGCCATATGAATGGATCTCTCGCCATGTCAATGTGATCCTTAATAGTTCCATATCCTCCAAATTCAAGTTTTCGCTTATGTACCATATTCGCCTCGACCCATTTTGACATGAACAACATCAAGGAGATTTATTGAAAGAAAAATGGGCCAAAAAGAGCCCTCCCTTGTCATTTTCTGTTATTCATGTTATGAGGAGATTAGACAAAAAAAATTTGAAAAGGACTGCTCAGATCTTTAAACAACATATTTGATCGCGTATACCACATAACGCAGCAGCAGGAAAGACAGAACTATCTTCTAAATTGTCATAAACAAAGTTCGCTATGAAGACCTTTGAAACAGTAGTCCATGTTTGTGATTGATCATGTCAAGGGAACATACTACAGGTCTATTCTAAACTACCATAGTATCATCAGGAACATAAATGTAGAAATTTTCAAAACGCATAACTCCATCTTGCGCATATCAAATTACAAATAATGACACTTAAGTGACAGGAAAGAAACAGGAGGGCATTTCAAGGAGTTGAATCCTCTTGGCATTTTATACACCCTTCAGTTATGGTACAGTGGGAAGTTTAATTCCATACTTCCATTTTGTTGGAAATGTTAGAAACAATCTTTTGTGTCAAATCTTGAACGTGGGTAGCTCCCCTTCTACAGCAGCTTGTATAGGGGAAGTAGCCCTTAGTACCTTCTTAATGGAATTATGTTTATCATTTCAAAAACAAAAAGTGGAAACTGAAGGTCATGAAATACAAAAAACCGAGTAAAGGCTGTGCGCAGTAAGAGACAGAGTTCTGGGTGGTTAGATATGTGCACAATCAAACTTCTGGCGGGCTCCCCATTAAATCTCTTGTTTCTCTGTGCTCTATCCATTACTACATCTTTTTAACCATGCAGATACTGGAGATCTTTTTCTTGAAGTCTCTCTCTGTCTCCATTGGTGTCCCATGCCTTTTTCCTCATTTATCTCTACTATAATATCACACCTTCTTATTGAAAGGGATGCGCAAGAAACTGCTAGAGTTCCCAAGACAAACATCAATCAAAAGTGAAAAAATCAGAGTCCATAGAAGAGAATGGATTCAAATCCTGTTTAAGCATTTCAAGCTTCAAGCTGATAACCTTTTATGTATCAAAGCTCTTTCATGTGGTGAGAAAAGTTCAACATATCCCCATGGTCAAGGTACATCACTCAAAAAACAATGGGTGTTTAAGATGCAAGTCAGTACAAACAGTTACATTTGTTAGAGTCTCTTTCAAGAGATCTGTCATAAGCTTAGAGAACAAATTGACTCTAGATGGAGAACACGTTGATCTAATTCTAGAGTCAATTACAGCACAATGTATTTGGAAAGAGGTTTTGAGTTTGCAATTTTGAGATTGTATTAGCTTTGTGGAGCTAGTGCTGAAGTTAAAAATTAATCACGAGAAGGTACCAAAGGGGACCGAGCCAAACATATGTATCTCTTTCGTCATCAAACTTAGGGTGTGATCTACATTTTTGTGCTTTGATATCAATCAAAAGAGTGTCATTCTTTTCCTTTTTCTAAAAAAACCTTTGTTTACTCTAATGTTGCATTGCAATTCTTAGGATCAACATAACTTGCTACTGCTGGATCCATCTCAAGTCCGAAATCATGTTATATGCTTCATATTAAGTTCTCCATCAATCCCACCAACATAGGTGCAGCAAATGGGTTATCGCATAGTACATTAAGGAAATAAAGGGAAAGGTCAACTGCAGTGCAGGATCAGAATGCAGGAAAAAGAAAAAAACCAGCCAATATTGTCTACCACACGCAACCATTCTCAACGATAAGCAAGTCAGCTATTCAACTCACAGCAACTTTCAACAAAGTGTTATGAAGAACACCAATAATTATTTAAACAATTCCTGATCATTTCTGCCTCTAAAATGCCATGAAATATTAAGGAAGATGGATCAAGTGAGACAAGTACAAATTCCATTGCAGTTACGCATAGAGAGACACAAGCATAAGTTCATTTGGTCTAGGAAGCACGGACGCTCTCCAGGGGCCTCCGTGTCATGTCGGACACCAACACTCGTCCGTCACTCTTTTTTTATTATTTATTTATTTGTGGATTTAAATCAAATTAACTTGATTAAAATAATCACAAAAATGATAATTTATTATGTATATATAAAAATATACATTAAATATACAATGTGTCCCAACGTTTCGGATTTTTCTATTTTTTGAGAAATGACATGTCGGCGTGTCGTGTCGTGTCGTGTCGTGTCGCGTGTCAGTGCTACGTAGCATTTGGTAAATAGTGCAACCCAAGATAACAACAGCAGCCTTTTCCATATAACTAGGATAGAATATATGGATACTTTTGCGCTCTTAATCTCTATGCAGTGTCTAATCCTCCTTGACAGGATCTCACATGTATATATACACATTTATGTAAACATATATGCATACATACACATGTTGTCCTCACGTATATATGCATGTAAAAGAAAGAAAGTTAAAACTTGTAAAGTGCACTTAGAAGATATGCTGGTACAGTTACATCCTCCAGTCACTGTTTTACCATCATAGAGATTTTTTTTCCTCAAATATTTGCAATTTTCAGCAGCACTTTTTAACATTCGTATGCAATAACTATTAAATCAGACTAAGCTAAATAACATACTATAAAACATAGAAAGATGTTTCAATAAGCAAAATTAAGTGCTTTATAACACAAGATACACTTGTATCATGTGCTATAGCATGTGTTAGATAGCAAGAATTTAGAATAATCAATTCTGCACAGCCAAAACCAATACTAGTAGACTCCAGAGAATCTCCTCAGAACTGAAAATTCAGCCAAGCAGCACTCCGATCTAAGCACAATATTTGGATTTCATAGACACGGTAAGCATGTGAAAGCTTCCTTGCACAAAGCCCCTAGGACCATTCTCATTTAAGAAGTAAACTGGGGTTCACCAGGGTGACCAACTTTTACAGCTCTCATAAAGAATGATAGCTGTTTTCACTAAACCTCAAGTTCCAACCTCAAGCTAACAAAATGACCGAACATAACTTGAATTAAGTTATTGCCTGTAAGTTGGTCAATGACATCATAGGTGACCCCCACTCAACTCATGTACGTTCTATTCCATCCAGGAGGAGTTACGTAAATACTTGTGCACCACTCATCTCTGAAGTTCATTCTTTATCCCAGTAAGAGACGGCATTAAAAATCATAAAGCAAAAGGTATACTAGCATAAGCATTAGGCCAGACCTGGCATGTTCGAGACGAATCCACCTCTGTCCTCAATGCTGCCTCGCTCAGTGTTAGGCTCATGGTCTGTAGACATTTGTACTGCCTGCCCTTTCCTTGAAAGTACAGCTCGGGAATCTCCAACATTTGCAACCCATAACTTGCGCCCATTTACAAGGATTGCAGTGACTGCTGTGGACCCACCACGTCCTAGGTCAGGATTGTGTGACAAGATTGCTTGATCTGTTTTCTCATAGGCTCTAGCAATAGATCGGCTGGGATCCGTCCAAAAGTTTTGCTGGAATCATTAAATTGAAAGATCACATTCTAAGAACAAATCGTTCCAATAACTAAGGCAATACTAAGCTAAATGGATATTGCTGATAACCCTTTGCTTATAGGCTCTTCACCATATCAATATCAGCCTAGCCTCTTCAGGATATTCAAAATGTGAAAGGAGTGCAAAAGATGTTAGCAACAAGAATTTAAACCGGCGCTACTCATTGTTAAGACTGGGTAGAGTTTCCTGTACACCAATTGAGATGCAGAAATAAAACGTTATATGACTAGTACGTCTGTCAGGTTGTAGTACACGGACCAGGTGTAGCATTTGCCTACTCTTAGATTTATTGTAAGTATGATCCCTCCCCAGTACCATGTTGGACACTGCTGAATTGGTTGAAGAGAAGCATCCACGTGACACAGGTAACAAACAGCAGAAGAGGTTAACGACAAAGAAAAACTCAAGCAAAGAAAGGAAGGTAGCATGCCTCTGGAATCAAGGGTAATGGAGCCAAGCCAAGTCGACATAAGAACTCAAACTCAAGTTGACTCAAAAAGTCAAAAACTCAATACTTGACTCAAGCTCCATGGAGCTTCGTTTTCTCACTCATACTCAACCTGAAGAATATTTGAACTGGTGGCCAGACTCAACTCACCCCATGGCTACCGAAAAAAGAAGTTTATAATCAAAACTCTAGAGACATTAAGCTCAGACACGAGCTTTATTTATCTATTCATTTATTTTAACAACAAGGAAGCTCACCTTTAGGTACGTAAACCGCATTCCCACGCAATACCAAACTAAGTCCTTATTGCCTCATTCCTTTCTCTTCCACCTTTTTTTTTCGGTTGCTTCAATAGCAAGCTCAAAATGGACTTCTTTTCCCACAATAGAATGAAGTTACAGAATTGTAACATAACTATGGCTAATGAAAAATTGTGACCAAGCACTGCAGTCAATTGATTGTTTGATCCTTGACTAATTTAAAAAAAAATTAAAATTGTTGCAGGGCGTATTCTTTCTCTAAAATGAAGAACTACAACTTCAATCATCGTTTGGTTCTGTATAGACTAGCATCTGTGGATCATAAGAAAACTAATTAGATCTACTTGTTCCACTATCACCATGGCAATCAACATGTGAAATATCATATCATTATTATTGAGAGATACGATAAATATAGCAAGACTTCCACTGTAGCTAATATGGACTTGTCCAACAATCTATTGTGAGCCACTCAAAACACAATAATTTAGAGATGGCTCCATTAGTGGCCATATTGTAGGCATGACAAACTCAAGCTGATTGAAAATCCAGTATAAGATGATGATATCTCAGCTTCTGATGCTTCAAAAAAGGATGTACCCCCTATTAAGCTTGCAAGCCTCCCAAATCAAGTTATAACTAATTTGACACTTCAGCTACTTACAGTAAATAACAACCCGAGTGAACTAGACTGGCCAGCTAGCCAAGTTCAAGTACGTACACGAGAGGAGGACCTTAAAAAGGCAGAATACAAAAGAAGATGAAAATGGAGAGCAACGAGAAATCTAATTTCCAAAAGTCTACTGATGCATAAACGGCACCGCGGTCATAGGCACCTTCTGAGGGTTAACATTTGTTCAGATAATTAAGCTCTGAAAACAAAGGGGTATTATTTCCTTAACTTAGTGCTGTATCCCTAATTTTATTGCAGGGGGGGGTGCTTTTCTGAAATTCTTGAAAGGTCTCTCTAGAGAACCCCCATTCTTGAGCAGTGTAAGAAGCCGACAACAAAGTTACTAGTGCAAAACATTTCTAGTTAAGTAAACAACTGACCTCTGTCAGGATATTTTGGAAGAGATGCTTCTGTAGGTACGCAGGAACGCTATCTCCTAGATGCCCATCAAAGATGGCAAAAAGACCAAGTTCACGTCCGTGGCTCCGAACAATTTTCGCAACATGGTAATCTTCCATGGGATGATTTGCTTTCCCTTTTATTAAGCTAAATCCATATTTGAAGGGGCTCTGACGGCTCCTTCCCTTGCCTGAGTTACATGAGGAACGCCCTCCTACAAGCTGAAGAGCAGGCGGGAAAAAAAGAAAGAAGAAACTCGTCAATAATCGGCCATCTGGACAAAAATCAAGGCTCATGTAACTAAAATACCAAGATGGCATTTCCCCTCTTTCTCATCAGAAAAGGTACCAAAGATCACGCAGATCAAACCATTAGAAATCTCAACACGAGCGTCACAATCATCTAAACAAGAAGCCCCAAACGAAACGCACAAATTCTTCCCATGTCATCAATTAAAGTCGAGGTTGATCGCTGATCAGCAACAAGCATCTCTTTTCACTCACCTGAGAATATACAGACTTGAAGCAGCATAAATTGTCCATATAATTCAGCCTCCACCGCTCACTGGCGCCCCCTGTCACCTACCATCTACTTCTGCAACATACCAATCAACAAACACTCAAGAGTCAACAAAACGAAACCCATCTCGAGAAAAACTCCCAAATCCCCACCACAATCAAATACCGACCCAAGCAAATTCTGATCACCAACAAAACAAAATACCCACATGAACAAAGACCCTCCCCCCACAAAAACCCCATGAATCGAGCCCGCATAGATCGTCGCAAGATTTTACCTTTACCGGCTCCACCGAACCAAAACGAACGGGGAACGGAGAACTGCAAAGATGGGTGTCGAAGCACGAAGACTATCTCGCTGCCCCCACGCGACGAGAAGCGTACGAAGGAGGAAGAAACCGACGCTAAAGATGAAAAACCCGTCTCGATTCTGTAGTTGTATGGGCACAGAGAGAGAGAGAGAGAGAGAGAAAGAGAACCGGGTCGCACGGATTGACTTTATTTTTTTTTTGTTTGGCCGGGTGTTTTTCTCGTATTCTCTGTGCGTTTGGTTTGGTTTTCTTTTTATTACTGACACACACGCACGCACTGTGTCATCCGGGTCGATACATACATACATAGATGGTGCGGCTATTTTTCAAGGGCAAAAAAATACTACAAGTGCCATAAATTATGCACGGCACTCATTTTGGTGTCATGAATTTTTTTTTGAATCACTTTAGTGCTAAAATTTTTGAAAAACGATCACTTAAGTGCCAACTCCGATGCCGTACACAATTTTTCGCCGGAAATTCGACGTGGCGTTTTTTTTTATTAATTTCTGAAACCGACGTAACTCGCCGGAGATTGACACTTAAGTGATCGTTTTTCAAAAAATTTAGCACTTAAATGATCGTTTTTCAAAAATTTCAGCGCTGAAGTGATCCAAAAAAAACTTTTGGCATTTAAGTGATCATTTTTTCTCCGATTTGGTACTTAACTGAGCCAGCGAAAAATTTTGGCACTAAAGTGAGCATCGTACATAATTTATAACATTTATAGTGTCTTTTTGCCGTTTTTCAAGAAGTGCCCACAAGCTCTCCCATCTGCACCATTTACTGCTGGTTTTTTTACCTCCTCTCTCTCTCTCTCTCAGTCTCAGTTTCTGCCTCGGGGCAGTTGGTATTTAATGGTCCTCTCCCTCTCTCTCTCTCTCTCTCTCTCTCTCTCTCTCTCTATCAGTTCCAAGTCAACTGGTCTTTCTCCTCGGCTCTCTCTCTCTCTCTTTTCCTCTTTTTGACACGGGTTGACCCAACGGCAAGCTCGCTTTTTACTGTTCCTTCCCGTTCTCGCAATCCGGGGGGCACTTCTGTCAGCTGGCAGTCTCTGTCGCGACGCGAGATTGTGTGACTCGGATTCGACGCGATGTTCGGGCTTTTGCGTTGATCGTGTTTACCGCCTAAAGTTGCCAATGTTTTCTTCGTGGGACGGCAGGTAAAAAAATGATCCAGTCCTGATTGAACTGGGGACGGAAGCAGGCACCGTTTCATTCAGCTCTCCGACTCGTCCTAATCCTAAGGTTGCGTTTGATCGATCGGATTGGTGGTGGTCCAGGATAAAATAGGGTCGGATATAGACCGGATATAGCCCGGATAAAAAAATCCGAGGAGGGGTGGGATAGACCTGGATAGAATTTCTAATGCCTATTTTTCCAGAAACCCTACACTCCACTCTCCGTCATCTTCATCCCCACACCTTGTGCGCTTTCAACAAAAAAATTTCTCGGCTTTTTTTTGCTTCACCGACTCCTCCGGACCCGTGAATAGCAAAAAAAAAAAATTATCCTATCCGACTTTAAATCTGTAGTCCACCAAACAGTGAATAGGATATGAAGAAATCCCAGGATTTCTTATCATATCCTATCCAATCCTATTCTGTTTAGAAATCTGGACAACCAAACGTAAATGGGTAAATGTTGCCGGGTTGGCTTGGGATCGCGTTTTACAAAAATTCTATGGGGTTCGAGATGGATTTTGAATTATATGACGAGTACCTCTAAACTGGAATCTTGCTACATAAGGTATAAAGCCATCATATTTTTTTTTTCGAAAGAAAGAGTAATGACATTTCAACTACATAATTTTTTCCTCGGTGTTCGGTCCAATAGTTAAATCATTGGTCAATTAAGTACCTAAATTTTTAGAATCTGATTTAATGTGGTCGTTCCGTTAAATGAAATGTCACGTTATGAGTTTTTTTTTTTATGCTTGCCCCTTCGCTCAGTGTCGATTATTCATTGTTACTCTATCTATATACTTACCCTTTGTTGTTCTGCGAAATCTATTATCAAAAATAATTTTATTCATTTGTTGACTTTGGGTTGCTTAGGAAAACGGGTCAATAGAAAATCTTTCATTGACATCAGAAACTTATACTTAAATCCAAGAAAACGATTTCTTCTTTTAAAAATAGAAATTTAATTTTTTCAAACTATCATTGGACCCCAACGCTCGGGCTCGAGTCCTGCAAGGCCGACTTAGAGACCAAAAGGCCTTTAGTTAATGCAAATATTTCAATCAGGTCCCTCAATTTTTCTATGCAATTAGATCTCTGAATTATGTCATTCCGTTCAAAGAAATCGAAATATCAAGATAATATTTTTTTTTCTAGAAAACTGTCACTAGTGGAGAGATAATTGCCAACATGGAAAAGTTTAGTGGGACCAAGTAATGGATGTTACTATCTTAATATGGGGGGAATGCGTAGGAGTGATGGATACATAAAAGTGAGAAGAGGGGAGGTAAAAGTAGGGGTAAGCAAGATAGACCACCCAAATTGGGACCGGATCGGATCGACCGGTTTGGTCCGATTCTCGGAAATATCGATAAGGTTTCCGGTTCCTAAAAGTGAAACTGGTTTTCGGGCGGACCGGTTCTCGGTTCTAGGGTGGGAATCGGACCGGACCGATAAATATATATTTTTCTAATTTTTTCATATATATTTATTTACTTTTTAAAATTTTAAAAAAAATAGAAAGTCTAATCTAATTTCCCCAATTTCCTCTTGCCTTTACCAATAAGTGATTGGTCCAATTGGAACAGGACCGATGGTCCGGTCCGGTCCACGATTCCAAGACTAGCCAGTCCGGTCCCTGGTTCTAGAAACTGGGAACCGATCTTCTCAATCCGATTCCCGGTTCTTGGGTTGGACCGAACCGGATCGGATCGGGAACCGCTCCCTCCTAGGTAAAAGTGATGTTAGTGGTCATTGTAGCTCATGAGGAGCAAAAGCAAAGACAAAAGACAAAGGCAATTTCTGTTGCGCAATCAACGAATATGCTACCTAGGAAGCCGTCAAACAATTCACACGTATGTTTCCATGTGAATTTGCGTGTCTTCACTCTCTCCACGCCACGTACTCCTTCCATTTCCCCTTTGCCATCTCATTCCGTCAAGCCATGCATGAATCTATCCCCTCTCTCTCTCTCTCTGTGCAACAGAAAGAACATTCTCTTCCTCGGCTTCCTTGCAGGTCTCGTCTACGTTTCCTTTCGCATCTTCAGGTGGGGATTGACTGATGTTGATGGGTGGTGGGTCCATGTTGAGGAGAAAGGCCCTGGATATGGAATGGGCCAAGAGTTATTACGATGGTGGTGTTCATGCATCGGATTGGTGGGACGAGATCGACGAGTCTGAGCAATGGCAGAAGGGGATTTATTATTCCTTGTGTGGATCCTACGCATTGATTTCGTTCATTGCCTTGGTATGTCAATAACTGCTGCCCACCCTTTTCTTCAGATTCATTACAAAATCTGGGCGGTTTGGTTTCTCTTCGAATCGTTTGAGTCTTTGTTTTGTGGGTGTGCGTGTGTTTTTGTCTTCTTTCTTTTGCACTGTCATGTCGTCTGCAGGTGAGTTTGATCCTGAAGAAGATATAATGAGAAAACACCTGAAGATCTTGCTGTCGTAATTTAGCATATTGCAGAGTTTCTTCTTTTCTTGAGCGGAGGTTGTCTTGTTAATGTCATGGCCATACGCAGAATGCGGGCTTCTTTGCATGGACGATGTTATTCATTTTCTTAAATCGTGAACAAGCTGAAATCCTCGGATGTCTTTTAACTGTTGTATAGGTGCAACTGTTCCGCATTCAATTCAGAGTGCCCGAATTCGGTTGGACAACGCAAAAGATTTTTCATCTGATGAATTTCGTTGTGAATGGCCGTAAGAATCGCCGGAATCTTACGTTTTCTTCTTGAGGCGAACCAGATTAGATCTCTATAGTAATTCTTGATTCTGCATTTTGTCAGTGAGGGCTTTCATGTTCGGTATCTACAAGAGCGTGTTTCTTCTCAGGCCCAAGGTACGTCTTATACTTCGCCGACATTTATCGGTCTCTTGATTAGGAGTAATATACAAAACTGTTGAAAACTATGGTACCTGATTCTTGTAATTCTAACATTTGTTTCCCAACAGGCACTTGAAATAATGCTTCTCGATCTTCCCGGACTATTATTTTTCTCGACGTACACATTACTAGTCTTGTTCTGGGCTGAGATATATCAGCAGGTACTTTTTTGTATACTATTGCTGTCTTTTAAGATGTGAACCATCACATGTAGAAAGTTAGCTAGGTTGACGGTTTTTGAAAGCTTGTTAATCGAACAGGCACGAAGTCTTCCTATCGATAAGCTTAGGCCGACGTACTATGCAATTAACGGACTTATATACTTCACACAGGTAAGGTACTTCATTCTCATTTCCATTTACTTTCGAAAGAAACCAAATTAACCGGATTCGACTCGTGCATCTGACTTAATGTCAGTTAAATTCGCAATTGTGGCAATAGGTGTGCATCTGGATCTGCTTAAAATTAAGCCCGAGTCACACAGCGATCATGGTTTCAAGACTCTTTTTGTCAGGTCGGTGTTGTTTAGGCAAATTGTGAGACGACGCAAGCCTCTCTTTCATTGTTATTGCCTTGTTCTTTCTTCTGCTTCCTTTTACTGGTATTTGAACTAATGGTTCGTAAATAGGTTCGGGTTATGAAACTTACGCGGCGTTTCCTTTTACTGGTATCTTCCTTGTTTTGCGATTGACGCCGCATAGTTGTTTAATGTTGGCAGCTGTTTCGTTTTGTGCTGCACTTGGGTTTCTGATATACGGAGGCAGGTAATCTTGGAAATGATCTCAAGCCGACAGTTGCTTTCTGTGTCTGGCGACGTAAGTTACTGTTATTTTGCGCAGGTTGTTCGTCATGTTGAGCCGCTTTCCTATTGAATCAAGAGGCCGACAGAAGAAGCTATACGAGGTGCGTATTAGATGTGATCATCGAGTTCGATCTTGTAAGTTTAACGGATACGCAAGAACTTGCTGCTATAGAAAAGGGTACAAGCGAAGATATTAATCTCCCTTCCAGAGCAATCGTCTGCTTCTTTAATTGCGGTATTACGTCACGACTAACTAGCTTCTGTTTCTAAGACCTCGCTGCTACGCATCCCTCCAAAGAATGGTTAACTTGCT